AAGATCTAGTTCCTTTCTTCTTACGTTGTGACTCAAGTTGGTGGTCCTACACAAACAAAATGCGACTGAATAATTATTCATTATTATATAATTGGTGGTATACTGAAGTGAATTGGGTCAGGCTGCTTCATTCTCACAGGCACGAGTCGACAAACCTTATTAACATAAGGTCATATCAACAAACTAAAATGGAAGTGCAAAATTCAAACTCTTTCTGCAACCTTTTATATCTAAGTGAAGAGCATTATGTCATCTTCTTGACTTGTGTAATCCTAAATTTGATGTCTAATGATGGTGATTAACTTTGATTAAGAAAAGTCTGACACCAAAGATAGCCACATTAAACAACACGAGGCCCCGAACAATGATATTTCTAGCATAATTCAATAGCGGCAGTTATTAACAATTAACAACCACATGTTGTGTGTGTGGAAGAGCTAATGGACAATCAATAACAACTGCAAAGCCTTTATAAATGCTAATGAGAGGGATGTTTTAATTAGCATTATGTATATGCATGCATGTGTACAGAGATTGCATGTATACATGTATTGATGTGTGAGTACACTTATAGCAGCAGAACGCAGTGGGCTCATCTCTGTTCACTGTTACTGCAGACGCTGAGTGAGGCGTTTCCATGGTGAACATCACAAGACTGGTCATACATTTCCATGTAAAGCTGCTCTGGCTAAAAAAGTCTCTTTATTTCCTTCCAAACTACAGTAAGAGGGTTAGAGAGCTGCTGTTTGATGCAGTGCCCTCTAGTGCCAGTTTATTTGATGTGAGGAGCTTATCTGCTCTGAGAATATTACTATAAGCCTACTGTTAGTCTGGGAGTGTGTTTCTTATAAAGCAACAGCAAAGAAACACTTCCACACACTATTTATAGAGTACTTGCATAGTACTATGTGACCTGACGGCAATCATTGCAGAATTAGTTTGAGATTAATTCAAACCATCTTGACTAAATCATGAAACTTAATTAAATTCTGTTATATAATACTGTACAAAACTATCTTCAGTTCACAGAGATTAACACTGCATTCAATTAAGCTGTTTGCTCACCACTTGCATCCATAACATAATTTATACCTAATAATACTTTTTACTTTCACTGCTCATCTCTAATATGACAGTACATGAATGATGTAATGTAGACTTGGTCTCTTCTTAGGCCAAGTGATTAAGCGAACACTCAGTATTCGGAAGTTAAACCAAACTAGCTGTAATTGCGGCCTCAACATGATTTTCACAGTGGAGGATTTATGTAATATGTTATGTGGATGTTTGCCCATGTGTAATACTGCTGGCACTGTGAACTGAGCCTTTTTATCATGCTGTACTGAAAATAAACACCACCAACTTCATTAAAGTGAAGGGAAATCTTTCAATATCAATATTATAATGTGATTAATAAAAGGTTAATTCATAAAGAATAAATAAAATCTGTATGATTCTATTGCTTTCAATGACCATATAGATCAAAATGGTCTATTTCTCATCTTAAAGACTTTAAATCACTGATGTGACACAATTTTCTAAACATATTTGTCAGTTTTATTTGCACCATAATGCATCACAACCACATTACTAATTGTTTTATAATCTTTAGTTTGTTTAAATACCTTCTGAAGGCCTTAATGTTCATCCCCAAACTAGAGTCACATTATATGAGCGGTATTTGATAAAAACATTTTCCCTCAATGCAAAGTCCAGTACAGACGTGTGCCATAAAAAGACAGTTTCTAGAGGGTAAAATATGTGTCATCTGCTGAATTTATCATTTCTGACAAAAATGGCACTTCATTGAAAATCTGCTGGCGGATTACTCCGAACGCATCTTGTGTATTTGTCTCTGAGCAGCTCTCTTTGTGGGCAGATGACCGATAAGATGTATTTTGCGAATCAGCAATGGCTACTTGCCAAACCTGCTGAAAGACAGATGGAGCATTTCATCTGATAGCAGAGCCATTGAAGTCCGTGCAAGTATTCACACATAACCATGTCTCTGCTACAGTCTCAGGAAACCCAGAGCTCGTTACCAACTCCAGAACACAGAACACACACTTTCATTTCATAGCCTCTGCACATGGAGCAGCTTGACTGATGAAGATTGACTGTACGGTCCTTTAGAGATTTGCAGGAGTAGTAATAAAAATCTGCCCTTTTCAGATGATCACTGTTTAGTGACAACAAAATGAGGTGTGAGCTGTTGGGAGAACACACACTGAATGATGAGAGTCATTTTCAGTTTATGTGAGATGGAGAGGGAGAAACGTGCAGACAGAAGATGCTGAGGAAAAGGAAAGCGCATCACTGTATATGATGAACGGAGCCTCTTTTACAGGTTGCAGTCTTTTTTTTAATGATGAACCTGGACCTTGTTTCACAGTGATAAAAGATATCTAGGCTTGCATTTGTGAATATTTAGGGTTATGACATTTTATATTTCTTATTTTGGGAGTGAAGTGAAGATAGATTTTGAGAACTGGTTTCTGAAAACATTCAGCTAGGAGTCTGGGACAAATCCACCAACTAAATGATAGTTTACACGTGGTCTGTTTGGGAA